GAGGAGGAGGAGAGTCAGCTCTAGCCGCTCCCCCCGCCCCGACCCACCCTGCTATTTATTTATTTATTGCATGGGCTGAGCCTCCCTGGCACCAGGGATGCGGTGCCCCCCACCCTGGATGGGCTGGGGGTCGGGATGCAGCCTTGTCCTTCCCCTGCCCTGGGGACAGACAGTTCCCAGCTCAGCACTGGTGGCCCCAGGACACGGAAGAGGAACAAGGAGCTTGGCCTGGCCGGGTTTTTTTGCCGGGAAAGCAGCTGCTTTTTCTCAGGAACCCTCCCCTCCTCCTGGGACCATGCAGCTACAAGGGGGGGCCGTTGCCCAGGGAGGGGTTTGCCCTGCGCTGCCTGGCCCCCCCTCTGCCCTAATACACGGACTCTTTGTACCCACGTGTGGCTGTGACTTGTGTGGGGTGGGGACATAGGGTCCCCCTGGGGCACAGACAACTGCAGGGCCTGAGTTGCAGAGGGGCCCTGGGCCGGGGGGGGGCTCCTGTGTCCTCCCCCGGCACGATGGAGGGAGCGGCGCTGGCTCCCGGTGCCGCCTCCAGCCGCAGCTCGAGCCCCTGGGCTGCAGCCAGTCCCGCTTCCGGCCTCGCTTCCTCCGGGAGCCTGCGAGCGGCTCGGAAAACCGCTCCCACCCCGCGGCCTTCCTGCCGCCGGGGCCTGGGGCTGCACGGGGGCTGCCACAGAGCAGGACGGGCCCCATGGCCCCTGCCCCCCGGCTGAGCCTGGCACGTCCAGGGGCCTGTGCCAGCCCCAGGGACACCCAGGGCACCCTGGCCCACGCAGGGCTCCGCTTGCTGCCTCAGTTTCCCCTCCAGCTCACGCCAGGGCTGCTGCCACCTTTGCACAGGCTGTGCCGGTGCCCTGGGCAGCCCTGCGGTGCCATGTGGCTCCGTGCCCACCAGCCTGGCAGCCACCTAGCTGCCCAGCGGGGTCCTGGCTGGGAGAGCCCAGGGATCCCAGACAGCTGCACATGCCAGCGGGGTGCTGGGCTGCAGTGGGGGCTCGTGCGGGTGTGCTGCGGGTTTACATGTGTGTGCCGCAGGGCTGCATGCGTGTGCAGGAGCTGTAAGCATGCATGCTGCATGTGCCCAAGCACGCGCCTCAGGGCAGAGCGCGCACGCGTGCGGGCGAGTGCACGTGTGAGTGCCAGCGGGCAGGGCGTGTGGCGGGTGCCCCCGCGGGCCCGCTCGGCGCCGCGCTCCTGCCTTGTCCCCGCTCCAGCGTGACTCCGCGCTTGGACATTTATGGTATGGGATGGAGCCGGGCCCCCGCTGCCAGCGCAGGGCACCCTGGGCATGGGACGTCCTCGCAGCAGGTGCCACCCGCCACGGCGCTATTTTTAGCCGGGAGCCAAGGCTGTGGCGCTGGCGGGAGGCTGCGGTGGGTGCAGGCTGGGCACCGCACGCCCAGACAGGGCTGGAACCGCCTGTCCTGCCATTATCGGCAAGTATAGCCCTGGGGCAGTGGCGGCACAGACGGCTGCTGCGTCCCCCCCACTCCCCGCCCTGGTACCGTGAATTGCCCCCAAGAAGCTGTGCCCGGAGGGGCACATTCGTGCCCCCTCCGGCTGCATCTGCTCTCCGGCCCCGTGTCCTCTCTGGGGCACCGGGATACCCGGAGCTGCCGGCCCCGGCTCTGCTGCCCTCGGGCCCCGCTGCTCCCGGTCCCGGCCCCGCCGGGGCATCCCCGGGGCGGCCCCGCGCGCCGCTCTCCGTGACGCTGCCGGGATTCCCACGACGTCAGCAGCCCGGCGTGACGTCACGGCGCCCCCGCCCGTAGTTGGCGGCGGCAGCGGCGCGGATGGGGCAGCGCGGCGGCGGTGGCGGCAGCCCGGCCCGGGCGCGGACACCGAGCCGACGGCGGCGGGGCCGGGAACCGGGAGCCGGTGGCAAGGAGGTAACGGGCGGCGGGGCGGAGGCGGAGGAGGGGGCTTCACTGGTCGTGACCGGGCGTTCCCGGTGGCTTTGCCTCCGCCGATGACCGTGCACCCGCGGGACAACTGTGCGTCCTGCCCGGCCGCGCATCCTCCGGCGGCCACGGGCTCCCCGCGCATCCCCGGGGACTGTGCAGCCCTGTCCTCCTTCACCCGCCGGTGACCGTGCACCGCCCGGCGCCCGCGAGCCCCGGCTCCCCTCCGGTGCCTCCTTCTTCATCGCAGGATGGCACCGGCTGCTGCCTCCGTGCCTGCGACTGTCCCGGGCACTGTCATCGGTGAAACACCTCGGTGACACCTCCGTGCGGGGGGCTCCATGTCCATGAGGGGCTCGGATGAGGCACCCGCCGCCCGGGCCCGCCCGGGGCCGCCGACGGGACCAGCCCGCGGGGCCCCTCGTTGCTGCGGTGCCGGCTGGCAGCGGGCCAGGCGGCCGCTCCTGTTCCCTGGCAGTGTCGCCGGCTGGCAGCGCCAGAGATTGGCATTGCTGGGGGTGGCATTGCCCACAGAGCGGCCTTAGAGGCCCTAAGAGGGTCCAACACCAGGGCTGGCATTGCCGGGCTCCGGAGCTGCCCAGGGGGTGGCATTGCCGGGGGGTGGCATTGCCGACGCCCCAGCGCTTGGGCCCTGGCCCCACGAGGACGAGCGCCGGGGACCGGGCTGGCACCGGGCCCGGGACGGCCGAATCCTGCCGGCTCTTTACGAAAGGAGCAGCCGGAGCTGCCGAGACCGCGGGCGACCCCGGTGCCCAACGCGGCCGCCCGAGGCCACGGGGACCCAAACGGGGAAGGGGCCGCGAGCCGGGGGCGCTCCCGGCGGCTCCGCCGCCTGCCCCTCGGCGCTCCCCGCCCGCCGCTGCCTTCCTGGCCGGGGCGGCGCTGGGGCCGCCGCCAGCCCGCTCCGAAGTTTCCATCGCCGCTGCCAGGGCCCTTCCCGCCCGAGGGCTGCTCTGCCGCGCGCCCGCCCCCCCGGGCCAGCTGTCCGCGAAGCCCCCGGGGGCAGGAGCTGCCCCCTGCGCCCCCGCCGCGCCGCTGACCTAATTCCCGCTGGACCGGGACGGGAACCGGGGCCAGCACCGGGACCAGGACCGGCTCCTCCCTGGGCTGCTTCCCGCGGGCTCCCGCACCTTCAGCCGCTGCCGATCCCGGGGCTCTCCGCGCGCTCCCGACCCCGCGGCCGGGGTCCTGCTCTCCGTCCCGGGGTCCTCCCCTCCGTCCCGAACCACAGCGCTCGAGCGGCTCCAGGGCCCCGAACCCCCCGGTTGCGTCGGCCACGCTTGTCAGGCCGGGCCAGGTCCCCGGGGATACGCGGAAGGCGCGGGGTGGCACCACCGGGGAGCCCGGGACGGACACCGCGGGAACCGGGGTACCGGCATTGCGAAGGCACCGGGTACCGGCACTGGGAGCAACTGGGAACACTCGGAATGTCGGCACCAAGTTGGTCACTAGGGTAACGGCAGCGGGAGGGACTGGGGACACTCACGCAGGAGACAACCGGACACATCAGCAGAGCACCGGAGGGACCCGGCCACCCCGGAACCAGGAGAAGCACCGGGACGAAGAGGAAAGCCCGGAACCGGAGCGGGGGAGACACCGGGGATGCCCCCAGGATCAGCACAATCGGGGCAGGGGGACACGGGGGATGCCGGGGCGGGGGGGCCGCAGCGCAGCCGCCGCTGCCGGTTCCCCCGGGAGGCCCCGCGGGGCGGGACGGGGGGAGCTGGAAGCGGAGGGGGCGCCCGGTCTATTTTTAGCCGGGGGCCGCGCGCTATTTATAGAGGCCGCCGCCGCCGCGGGGCCTCCTGCGTCAATGGAACCCCGCGTGCGTCACCGGCCGCGGCCCCCCGCGCGCCGCCGCCTCCCCGCCGCCACCGGAACCGCCCGCCCCCCCGCGCCTTCTATGGCGAACGCGCGTGCGTCACGGGGCCCCCGCCGCCTGCGTCACCGAGCGCTTAAGAGAAAGTAGTGGCGGGGGCCGGCGAGCCCCGGCGGGTGCTCGGTGCGCGGCGGCGAGCGCGGCACCGGCACCGGCACCGGCACCGGCACCGGCACCGGCACCGGCACCGGCACCGGCACCGGCACCGGGTACAGAGCGGGCGCCCTGCAAGGTGCATGGTTTGGAGGGGCGCGGTGGCACCGCGGCGGGGTGCACAGTCCCGGAGGGAGCGGGCGGCGCGCAAGGTGCATGGGGTGTCCCGGGGGAGTGCTGGTGGCACCCTGTGGCTCGGTGGCACCGCGAGGTTTGTCCGGCACCGGCGGAGCTGGCGGCGCGCAAGGTGCATGGGGTGTCCCGGGGGCGTCCCGGGAACGCCGGGTGGCTCGGTGGCACCCTCAGGCTAGCCCGGGGCTAGGGGAGCGGGCGGCGTGCAAGGTGCACGGGGTGGCAGCGACGTCCCGGCTGTGTCCCGGGGGCAGCGGGTGGCTCAGTGGCACGGCGGGGCTTGCCCGGGTGCCCCGTGCACGACCCGGCGGGGGTGTCCCCGGGTCGGTGCGTGGGGAGCGGGCGCCGTGCAAGGAGCTCGGCGGGGTGTCCCGCACAGCAGAGCTCGGCGGCAGCGGAGGCGAGCGCGGTGTCGCGGTGTCCCCGGGACGGGATGTCCCCGCAGCACAGTCCGGAGCAGAGGGACAGGGCAGCAGGCACGCTGCACCGTGCACGGAGCGCGCCGTGCCGGGGGCACCGGGGCCAGGAGTCCCGCGTGTTGGGCAGTCCCAGGGACGGGGTGCGGATGGGGCAGGTCCCGAGGCTGGTGCAGGAGCTGCAGACTCCCTGGGCTGCGTCACGATGTCCCCAGGGCTGGAGGTGTCCCCGAGACCCTCCCCACACACACCCACCGGCTCCGGGTTGGGTCTTGGGGAACGGTTCCATTCTGCACCGCAACTCCCGAGCCAGCCTGCTCGGAGCAGGTGCTGCAGGCAGCACCACGGGGACGCCCATCGCCCTAGGGGCACCGCGACACGGCAGTGGGGACGCTGACACCTACGTGGCACTGCGGGCATCGCTTTGGCGATAGCGCCGTGCCCGGTTCCACAGGTCCCCAGGGCACTTACGGCCCAGCCTCACGGCAGGTGCCACCAGCCACTCTGTCCGGGCCCGGTGCCAGCGCAGCCGCCAGCCCTCCCGCCCGCGTGTCCTCGCTGGAGCCAAGCGGCAGGACGGTGCCCAGGACGGCACTGGCACGCGCGGCCCCCGCCACCACCGCGGCCGTGATTTACAGCCGCAGCACTTGCGGAGCTGCCGGCGAGGCCGAGCGTGCCGGGGGCGCCCGCGCCTGCTGCCTCAGGTGGCTGGTCCCCTGCCCGGGGGCTCAGGGCCAGGCAGCCTCGGGCACGTCCCATGCGTCCCCTCCGTCCCCCGCAAGAGCTCTGCGCATGTCCCATGGCCTTGCAACCACCAGCAGCACCAAGCCTCCATTTTGGGGGACCAGCGGGGGAACATGGACACATCTCGGTGCCAGCTTGGCGGTGGCAGCGGCCACAGCGCGGGGGCAGCGGGCGAGCTGGCACGGGTGCCCGGTGGCAGCAGCGGTGCTGGGGGCCGGGCGCAGCGTGACCTTTAAAGGTCTGCAGGATGAGTTACAGGGTGTCACGCGGCCCCCGACGGCTTGGCTTTCAGCGGGGCTCCTGTTACGGGGGACCCCAGCCCCCCAGCGCGCGGGGCCCCGGGGCCGCTCGCCGCCTTTGCCACCTTCCCGTCCGCCGGCACCGCTGCCCTGGGGCCGGGCGCCGCGGCCGAGCCTCACAGTGCCACCGTGGCCCCGGCGGCTCATTCAACCTCGTCGCCTTCCGCCCCTTTGCCCAGCGTTTGGGGCAATGTCCTCTGCAGCCGTCGGCTGCGCCGTGACCTTTCCCGGGGATCCAACGGCTCCGTGCTCGCCCGCTGCTCCGGCCCGGCCGCTTCCACTGCATCCCGTGGCCTTCCCCGGGCCAAGATCCCCTTATCCCAGCTCGGCTGGTGGCGCCGGCCCCTTCATTGCCATGAGCATCCCAGCCCTTCGGCCTCTTGCACATGGGGCAATTCCCGCAGGGCGCAGAGACCTCCCAAACTCACCACAGGGCTGCGACAACCGGGTACCCCCCAGCCGCCTGGTGTGGAGCGGTCCCCGTGGCAGCTGGCAGTGCTGCAGAGCCCTGTCCAACTCATTGCATGCCCAACCCCGTCGGGTGCCCCCGGCCGGCCGTGCGCGGGTGCCTGCGCCCGGGGCCCCGAGCGTGACGCCCTCCCGCTCCCCCCCGCAGCGATGCCCTGCATCCAGGCGCAATATGGCAGCGCGGCGCCCGGCGCCGGCGAGCGCTACCCGGCCGAGCTGCTGAGCGCCGACGGCGGCACCAAGTTCCCGGCGGAGTCGGGTGGCGCGGAGCTGGCGGCCGCGCCGGCGCTGCCCAGCTTCAGCACCTTCATGGAGAGCTACGCGGGCGAGTTCGACGCCTTCCTCTACCAGCTGCCCGCGCAGGCGGCCGCCTTCAAGCTGGAGGACTTCCAGGTGTACGGCTGCTACCCCGGCGCCTTCGGCTCCCCGCCCGAGGAGACCCTCTCATCCGGCGGCTCGGACTATTACGGCAGCCCCTGCTCCGTGCCCTCGCCCTCTGGACCGGCCTTCCCGCCTGCGCCCGCCTGGGAAAGCTCCTTCGGCGCCTACTCGCCACCACCGCAGGGCTACGAGCCTGGGCGCTGCTGGGCCGAGGCACCCAAGGGTGCCGGGTGCCAACCGCCCTTCTTCGCCTTCGGGCCGGCGGCGCCCGGGCCCGGCCCGCTC